TAATGTTTTGATTTTCAACTTTTATGATGGTTTCTGGAATTTCTGATTGTAAATGTCAAATTGGATTTGTTGGTACTTTTCAAAAGCTTATCGGTTAAAACAAGAAAAACCTATTGCTTGTTGTAATAATACGCGCCTATTGTGAAACTTCTTAAAAAAAGGGTCATGATGGTCAAACATTAATAAGTTTATAATGAAAAAATATTTAGAAAAAGTGCATATTTGAGAMATTTTACCATATTCGTGCATATACTGTATTTTTTTTCTAATTTTTCATGTTTAAAATTGAATAATGGGAAATCGTGTTTAGATAACATTCAAAAATATTCCTCAAAATAAATTTATTTTGGTATGCTTTTAGTAGCTGAAATAGTACTTATAAATACCCTAAAATTGATATAATTATTCAATAGTAAAGAAGTATTTCGTAAAGTTCCATCTCGCATTCAAGTTTTTAAAAATATTGCTTCATCATTAACACTTCCAACTGAACCAGTTTTAACGAGTTGGGGCACATTGAAGCTTATTCGTCTATTGTTGTAAGCATTTTGAATTAATACAGTAAATTTTAAACTCTTACACAGATTATATTATGAAAATATTGCAAATATTGCATATAATCTGCGTCCTGTAATGCTGTTATGAATGTGATGATTTAGCGCTACCAGTGGCAGTTTAACCAGGCGGTTTTTCGAAATTAATAGAGTTGGTACCCTTATCGGCTTATCAGTTATCAGTGTTATCACTAGTCTTAATGATTATCATTTATCTGCTGTTCGAAAACAACGTGGATGATTTAAATTTTCAAATTTCAATATTTAATTTAGTTTTCATCGTTTTCTAGTTTAAATGTACCTATCATTAATTGTATATTTGTATTAATCATTTTAATTCTTACCKGGTTCTGTTGAAATATTAACTTAAGTTGCTAAGTCTTTAATACCGTGGTTATAGTACTTATAGTGCTGTTACAGATATCATACTGTTTACCATTTAGCACGTGCTATTTTGCTATTGCTTAATAGTTTAATTTGGTTAACAATTAAATTGTAAACTTTATTAGTTACTTGCTTATTTTTTTTAGGAGACTAAGTATGTAAGTAAACCAATTTATTCAATATTGTGTAATTTAACTCATTGTCTTTCACTGWTTAGTTTATTTTAAACAATATGTATCTTTAACTATYTGTCATTTATATTTTAGATCATGGTTGTATTCACTTGTAATAATTGTGGCGATTCAGTGAATAAGCCTAAAGTAGAAAAACACATTCAATATGAATGTAAACGCAAAAATTTTGCTGTTAGCTTCTGTTGTGTCGACTGCTTAAAAGATTTTAAGTGAGTAGTATTCAGAATAATATATTCTCACTAACCTCCATAATAAATCCTTAAATTTAAATCTATATTAAATTGGAATACATATTTTATGATTTCGTTTGTAAATTATATTTATATTAAATATTTAGGAAATATTGCTCAATATAGGTTATTCAATTGGTCAATGTACTCTAATAGTATGATGTATTTTAAGATTATTTTTTCTCAAGAGTGCTTATTATTTCTTTATTGTAATGGTTTTATTTATAATGAATAATGGTTTTGTATTAAAATAAGCTTTAGGTGCATTAATTTTTGTTTATTAAGAAGATGTAGGTACCCACTAAGTTGTCACTATCTTGATGCCTGCTATCATTATTCAAATTTAACCCTAAGCAATTTAAATTTGTTGTTAGTTCAAATATTATAATTAACTTACTTATCATCAAACTTAAAGGTAAGAACATAATATAAGCCGGCTGTCTTATTGATTTTTTACATCACTAGGGTGATTGTGAGTGTGCACATGGAAGTTAGAATAATAAATGTGGGCAAGAGTTGGTATAGGTAGAGCAGATGTTAAGGTTATTATTMATAACTCCTTAAAAAATAAAATATTTTAAAAAACAACAAGAGAACTCTGTGATATTGTTCTTACCTTTAAGTTTGATAATAATTAAATTYTTTCTAATATTAAAGATAATAACACTTAATTGAAATKACTGAACTTTAATTTACTTTGTTGTCCATTTGTATAATGATGACAACACAAGCAAGGGTGTCGTCCCATGTCATTTTTATTATAAATTAAATTGAGTAGGTATGTACAAAAATAATTTAATCAGGATTACTGGTTTAAAGTTATATTCTAGATTCCTATACTTTAACTATAAATCTATGTTAACACAACTGTTCTTAGTATCAATTTTGTTTTATTTTGTTAATCAACAATGCTGTATAATTACAAAACTATTTGTTTTCTTATATTTCAGCTATGAGACTGTGAAAGATCATTGTCAGTGTGTAACCGAAGACCAGAGATATGCTGCTAAAGGCTATGTTCCTAAACCATCAGCTGAAAAGGGAAAACGTAAACAAGCTGGTTGGGTTGATATTGTTCAGTCAGTAATGAACAATAAAAACTTGCCTAATGAACAAAGACAATTTTTGAATATTATAGCCAAGTTTGATAATGTCCCAAGAAAAAAAAATAAATTCCAGGTATTTATATTTATTTAWTTTTTTTTTATTTTTAGAACATTCAGTATAAAAACTATTATAGTTCAACAATTACAGATAAATACAATGAGAGATTGTATATTATACTTCTTAATTGTTAAAAAGTTGAAATATTGCTACTACTTTTCTGATAAAAAGCCAAGTATTACAATTGTTAATTTATGAGTTTATAATTCATTAACTATATGAATCATTAATAAAATTATAAGACTTCTAA